GGTCGGTGTGGGTCGGAATGGGGCAGTGTGGGTGGGAGTGAGGTGTCGGGAACATTTTGGTCCTAACATTGCTGTCGCGAACATGATTTTTTCACGAGTACCGTCGGCAGAAGCGACGCAGAATGAAGAACGATCCCAGTGAATTTACTCGTAGATCTACGATAATATCCCAAACCCCTCTCACAACTATCAAGCATCGACATGATGGATACCGATATGAGGATATATATATATATACATATACATATATATATACATATACAAAAAAGATATAATAAACAAGGAAGGAGATAACGTCTAAATACAATTGTAATTTCGCTGTGCAGAATCATATTGTACAGAAAAATTCCAATTGTCTTGATAGTGTATTTAATGTTTTTCATTAAATTAAATTGTTAATTTTGGGCTCGTCTGCAAGATTGGAAGTGAATAATAAACTTCAAGGCCGAAGCCTCTACAGGGGCGGCAATGGCTCGAAATTTAGGATTTGAAATTTAAAATTCAAATGAGCCCTCTCCGGCCTTTGTACGTCCATCCGCTAGGGAATGAAGAAATTCAGCGATTCCATTTCGTTATCAAAATTGTATCGTGGCTCCCTAGATCAATCCTCATTTACCGAATATTCGTTTCACTGAGTGCGTGTTCGTAGGTCACGAGGCATAATATAAAATTGGCAACATCCCAGTTGGCCTACTCCCATTTCGTCTACTCTCATAATGGGCAATAGTGTGGATGCCACTCCGTCTAGTCCATGTATGCTAATCCAAACCATATATTACATTTATAAATGATTATTTAGTGGACAAATTGATGGTAGACAAAATGGGAATGGGTGGATTTTTAGTGTAGGCGAATTGGGAGTAGGCAAAATGGGTGCAGGCCAACTGGGAATTTTGCTGCAGGGGAAATGGGAGCGTTGCTGGAATTACACCAATGGTTGCTGAAATGGAATAAACCATAAAATGATTCAGTTTCATCGCAGTGTGTGAATCAGCGCCCTACACCTGCAGCTCTCACCTGTCCAGTGTCCAGAGCTGCCACCCATCGTTGACGTGCATGTGTCGCTGATCGGTAGAAATACTTTCTCCCAGCCTTCGTGACTGTAGCGCCAGCCTCTGAATAGAAAGATTCATCGTTAACATTATAGTTCAATGGCATCGAGTGATAAGCTTGTCGAACCCACGTGGAGTAGTGCAGTTAATCTGTTCCCTAGAGAAGGTCTAAGCCTCCACGATACACGTCTACATGAAAAGAAGATATCATACAACTAATGCTAAGAGCAAGACAATATATATATTATGATTATTGATTTATAATTATGATTATTGATAATGATTAATGAATATCTTATTAATTAATACTAAATAATAATTATCAATAATCATAATCATAAATCAATAATCATAATCAATCATTAAACCCATCGGCAGCACAATCTCTCAGACTTCTGCGCATCGAGCAACAGCAAACCTATAGCCATCAAAAGACGCTCGACAAGCGACATGCAAAGCTTACTTTGAGTTGAGGATCAGTGTGCGTTGGCTTCCGTAGGCGATCATGAGACAGTAGGTGAGATGGTGCACCTGGCAACCGTACCCGCATCCCTTGTTCACGTTGCACACCAGCTTCTTAGCATCTGCGCAATTTGTCGGATTCTGCAAGCGAGTGAAAGCTTTCAGTAACTGACGCAATTCGCAGTGTAAATATAAGCGCTATACTGCTTCCGCTATGTGCAATATCCGCTTTTCAAAAAAAGTGTGCAACACATTGTAAGCATGCAGTTTACATAAATGGAGCTGCATATGGCAGCAGCAACACTTGGGCTTGCTATAGTGGCGAATGGGGATGATAGCCGGTTAAACGGGCTAGATAAGGAAGCTAGCGCAGGGGCGGATCCAGGATTTTTGAAAAGAGGGTGTCCAAGAAGAAATAAAGGGCACTTACTTGTTCTGGTGTTTTAAAAAGCTGCCGATGGCACTTAGGGGGGGTTGGGGGACCTTCCACCAAAATTTTTTATTAAAATTGGTGCATTCTGAGAGCATCTGAGCAGTAATTTTGATGTCTAGAATGCAAAAATTTATCAGATCCGGTCCCCCGGATGCCTGCGGACCCCTCTTTGCCCATTTCTAGGTTTTTATAACGAATTTACATATATATAAGTGAATCTTTATCAGAAAAACTAGCGCTAAACAAGATTTTTTTTTATGGAGACAATATAAGAGAAGTGTGTGTGTGTGTGCGCGCGTGCGTGCGTGTGTGTGTATGCTTTTCTTTTTTGTGGTAAAAAGGAGGGTCCGAACCCCCTCGATCCCCCCCCCTCTGGATCCGCCCCTGTAGCTAGATATACGGATAGCCCATAGCTCTATACACTAGAGCGTATCAGCATGTTGGAACTCGTATACGTGTCTGTGCCACGTTGGCAATGACTCATCTGATCAAGAATAACCCGGCCACAGGCCAAGTGTATTCTGTCACTTGAGACAAACTGCGCAGTAGTATTTTAGCCAAGGAGCGAAGAGCGAGTAAGTTGCTTGCTCGTTTGGTTACCGAATTCGGCGATGATGTGGGAAAACTATGTCACGTGAAGGAAGCAAAAGCAACTTGTGTCGGGAGCTCATATAAAAGCGAGAGCGCGTGTCGATTTCAGAGAGGAGAGAAATAGAGTAGTTTAGCAAGTAGTTTAGAGACAGCATGATCTACAGGTCGAGTATAGTTGTGAGGCTATAGTGATTTTGTGTTAGAAGCGGCAATGCTTGGAATTGTTTTGGTGAAAGAACCTTGCGCTTGAAATATTGATTACATTGATTCAATATTATTGTCCGTTATTTCTGCCTTATTGTGTCATGCTTGAGTTTGTACAGCTTTACTATAAATCTAGTGAAGTCACCTAGCTGTGTAGTTGTGGTTTCTCGACTGCAATATGTGGATCGGCTGTGAGACATACAGTGGGTGAATGCATAAACACATCTATACAAACAGAAGTGAATAATAAAAACATATGAGTTTTTTTATGTTGTTTTTAATCACTCCGGATACAATACATTGTGTATACTTAATATATCAATGTTTCGTGCACATAATTTATTATATATATAATATAATATATGGATACGTTCATGGTTAAAGTGTGTCAATGATGTGCAATTCTTACATGTGTACATAGTTGTTAGTCTGATGCTTGCTAGGAGAAGTGACAATTATGGGCTAAAGCTGTTTAGAAGAAAGTACAGTAAAAAAAATTCCCTGATTTTTTTCGATGGAGCTCACCTGTAGTCTATGCAACCTCTTCTGTACCAGTTCTGCAAGATCATCTGCCTCTTTCTTCCTCCACTCTCCCAAGCCGTCCATGCAGGAGAATTCCTCGATGTTGTGCAAAATTATACTGCAAGCAAGACAGGATTTTGATTGAAAAGATCCGAGTCAATATTTAAAAACTTTTAACGAGCACCTTTAGTAAAACAAATTCCCCATCCGTGGCATCGCAAGACTTATATTAACATAAGAATCGCGGGATTACCGAGATGCTTATAGACTTAACAAGGAAATTGAGTACCAATTATGCGTGCATTTTCTTGCCACTGATACTTGATACTTTTCAATTACATGTTCACATTCGGGATTTTTATAAAACACTCACAGCTACGCGATAGGTTTTAGTTGCACTTCCATATCAGTAGAGCAAAAATTATGCTTACAATATATTTTGCTCTCGAGGGTCGAAAAATGTTACAAAACAATATTTGATGGTATATGATGGCAGAGAACTACCAATTTATCACTGGCTGCAATATATGATTGTCACAGATTATACAATGTAATATTAGACGTCTGATTTCATAGCGCTACCAATCTGTTTGATACATCCAAGGAAAAAACCAGCAACAAATTGCCCAATAATGATTAATATCACAATAAAAAATAAAATAAAAATAAAACAACTAACCGCCTGACTAACCACCTAACTAACCACCTAACTAACCACCTGACTAACCACCTAACTAACCACCTAACTAACCATCTAACTAACCACCTGACTAACCACCTAACTAACCACCTGACTAACCACCTAACTAACCACCTGACTAACCACCTAACTAACCACCTGACTAACCACCTAACTAACCACCTGACTAACCCACCGTAACTAACGCACTGCTGACGTAAACGACCTAACTACATGCCCGACCTAACTAAATGCCACGGAGCTGACCCTAACACCACCCGTAACTAAACCACTCTAACTAGCCACCTGAACTAAACCACGGTCTAAGCTAGCGGCGCACCTAACTAGCGCACACTGACTAACGCACCCTTAACTATACCACCTGACGTAACCACAGCGCTAACTAACCACTCCTGACTAAGCCACCTATACTAACTCGACAGCTGACTAACACAGGCCTAATAACCACCTGAACTAACTGACCTCGTAACTAAACCACCTGAACCTAATCCACCCTAACTAACACCTTAACACGTAGCCACCTGAGCTTAACTGCAACGCTAACTAACCACACTAACTAACCACTCTGACTAATCGCACCGTAACCTAACGCAGGCGGCTGACTAACGGCGAGCGCGAACTAACCACGACGCTGATCTAACGCACCTGACCAACCACCGTAACTCAACACACCTCGAGCGTGAACGCACCTAAACAACCACCGTAACCTAAGCCACCTCTGACTAAAGCCACGCTAAAGCGTAACCACCAACTAACCACGCTAACAGCCACGCTTGGACTAACGCAACTCTGACTAACCAGCTAACAACCACCTGAACTGTAACCACCTAACTATACCACCTAACTAAACAGACGGCTGACTAACCACCTAACTAACGCTACCTAACTAAACCACGAGACCTGACCTAAGCACCGCTAACTAACCGACCTAACTAACCACGCTGACTAACCACCTAACTATACCACGCTAACTTTGCCATCGCCCCCTGACTGAACCACCTAACTAAGCCACCTACACGTAACGCCACCCTAACTAACCACCTCGACTAAACACTGGCCGACAATACCCAACCTGACTCAACCACCCTAGCACTAAACGTCACCCTGACTAGACGTCAGCCGGTAACATAAACCACCCTTAATCTAACCACACTAAGCTAGGCCACCTGACTTAACCACACTAACTAACGACTCACCTAACATAAAGCCACTGACTAACCCACCTAACTAACGCACCTAAACTACCACCACCGCTGACTAACGCAACCTGACTAAGCCAGCCTTAACTAACACACCTCTGAGACTAGCCACCTGACTACCACGCTGACTAGACCACCTGACTAAAGCCCACCTAACTAACGCACCCTGACTAGAACCACGCACTCAAACCATCTGACATAGAGAGCTGCACGTCTAACTAACCATCTGACGAGCCACCGCGAGGGGGGCGCGGTGCCGGGGGGCAGCCCCTCGGCTGGCGCCTGGCCGGGCGCCCGCGCGCGGTGGCGGGGCGGCGGGCCCGGGCGGCGGCGGAGCACCCGCGGTAACCACCCTAACCTAACCACCTGACCCTAAGCCACGCGACTAACGCACCGCTAACTAAGCTCACGCTAACTCAACATCACGGCTAACGTACGCACGCCTGACTAACGCCCTAACAACCACCTAACTAAATCACTCTACAAAACCTAAACTAACGCACCTTAAACTACCACCTTGAACTAACAGGATCACACTAAACTAAGCCACGCCTGACTAACCACCTAACAAACCACCGTAACTAACCCACTCTGAGCTAACGCACCTAACCTAACCCCGCCGTGACTAACACACGCTGACTAACCATCTTTGTACTAACGTCACCTAACTAACCCATCTGACTAAACTGCACTCTAACTAGGCCATCCTGACTAACCCCAGCGCGCTAACTAAACCACGCTGATCATAACGCCAACCGCCTAACTAGCGGACCACCTGACGTAGACCACTCCTGACTTAAACGGCACGCTGAACTAGGCCACGCTGACATAACAACACCTAATTCTTAACTCACCTACTAACAGGCACCTGACTAACGCACGCTAAGTGACCACCGTACTAACGCACCCTTAACCTAGGCACCTGACACCCACCTACTAGCCCCACCGACAAGCCAAGTAACTAACCGCACGCTGACTAACCACTCTAACGTTAGCCACCCGTGAACTGAACCACGCTGACTAACGCACCTAAACTAGCCAGCGCGTGACTAACCACGAGGCAGCGTAACTAACCCAGCCCTGACTAAGCCAAACCTACTAACCATCTGACTAACGCACCTTATAGAAAACTAAGACATCTGACTAACCCAGACTAACTAGACACTCCCTTAACTAACCACCTGACTAACCACCTAACTTAACTCACCTGACTAACGCACGCTGACTAAACACGGCTAACTAACACCGTAACTAACCACCTGAACTAACACACCTAACTAACCAGCTAACAAGCCACCTGACTAACCACCTGACTAAACCATCTGAACTAACCATCCTAACATAACCCATGGCTGACTAACACCGTAAACTAACGCACCTGACTAACCACACTGACTAAACTCACCTAACAAACCACCTGATGAACCACCTAACTAACTCACCGTGAACTAACCAGCCGTGACTAACCACCTAACTAACCACGCTTAACATAACCTCGTAACTTACCACCTAGACGAACCCAACCTGACAACCACAGCGTGACTCAGGCCACCTGACTAACTCAGGCCGATGCTAACACACCTAACTATACGCACAGCTGACGTAGCCACCCTGACCTAACTGAGCCGACTAAGTCGCACGCGTAACTAACTCACCTGCACTAGCCACCTGACTAACCACGGCTAACTGAAACACCTAACAACCGACGTGCTAACTAACGCACAGCCTGACTAAGCACAGCCTAACTAACCACACTGACTAACCAACCTAACTAACGCACCTGACTACGGCGACTCTATACTAAACGCTCCTTACTAACTAGCCGACTATACGCACTCTTCTGCAGGGGCGGCCGCTGCGAGATGCCACGATGGCGTCGATGTGGAGGCGGCCGTTCGCGTCGCCGCGGCACCGCCTGGCGCAGCCTCTGCAGGCTCATTGGCTCACGGTAGAAACGCACAGCTCCGAGAAAATGACGCCGGTGGTGGAATAGCGCCGGCCGGGCCTGGGCTGCTCGGTAACCTTGCGTCGGCAGAACTGCGCAAGCACTGCTGAGGGAAGAGGCTTGAGCGGACGTAAGCGAGACGAGTCGCACTCACCGGGTCTGCTGGATGGCACGAACGTATAGGTGGAGCGCTGTGTGAATACGTACTAGCCAGTCGGCACAATACGTAACATTTTAAGTAAATACGAGTTATAAAATATATAAATAATAATAATAATAATAATGAATAATAATAATATAATATATAAGCAAGCAACTAGATAACAATGAACAACAATAAAATGAATATAATACATGGCGATAAGTATTGGTAAGTTAGTAGATGAACAGCATAGACCTATCAGAGGTCATGATTAATAAGGGCTGCAGTGGAGGCCATTCAATTTGTGGACACTGATGCTTTTTGTCTATGGCAACAAAGAGCACGCAATGTGAACGGAAATGCTTCGGCGTAAAAATAACACTAGTTTCACGGGTCAGAAGGGTGGGGGGAGAAGTAAAAACTTGCAGGGGAAACACATAGAAAGCGGTGGCGACTCACATTCTGAAACTTTTGCAGCGCGCTGCTGTCAGTGAGTCGAGCCTATCGATGCCGCGCCAGGCGCGGAAGCGTGCCGAGATTCAATTGAGCGATTTAATGAAATTGCATAATATGAGCTGACTGGGTCATGCATAGCTTGTAAATTAAACGGCAGCCACCGGGCGACCAGCGTGACAGGCTGGTCACGACGCGGACACAAGCAGTGCCTACAAGTCTTCAGGTCATCCTCATCATAATGCTGAATGCACTAGGTCCTCATTTCCTCGGCTCCTCCTCCTGAATTGCATCCATGCATCATTATCTGGGCACGTCTCGTCCTCCTCGCCCCTCCTGCCCTCGCGTGGCCTCCTCCTCGCTCGCGCTCCTGGCCTCATTGCATCATCATCATTGCCAGTCCTCGTCCTGCGCTCCTCCTCTCCGTCCTGCATTCATCATCAATGAGATCGGCTCCGTACCTCCTCGCGCGCTCGCTCATGGCATCATCACAATCACCAAACTCCTTCCTCCCTACTCCTCAATAATCATCCTCGCCTCGCTGGCCTAGCCTGCTGCTCCTCCTCACTCGGCTCCTGCCTGCCTCCTCGGCTCCTCGCGCTCGCTCATCAATCATCATCAGTCATCCTCTGTGCGCTCGCTCGCTCATCATCAGTCGACCCTTGCCTCGTCTGCCGTACGCGTGCATGCATCATCATCAGTCAATCATTATCCTCCGTCGCTGCCTCTCCTCGCGTGTCGCCGCTCGCTCGCTGGCCTCGCTCCTCTCGCTCGGCTGCCTCCTCGGCCTCCTCGCTGCATCATACATCAGTCATCATTCCAATCCTCCCTCCTCGATGCATCATGCCTGCACCGCTGCGCTCCGCCTCGCTCCACCTGCGATCAATCATCATGCATCATCCTCCTCCTCGCTCTTCCTCCTCCTCGCTCGCGTCATCAATCATCCGAATCACTCATCAATCATCATCATCGTGCTGCAGCGAGCCGAGCATGGATGGGAAAGCCATGAACAGTGCAATGTGTGCGCGTGCATGTGTGTGCGTGCGTGCGTGCGTGTTTGTGCGTGTTTCGTGGCTTGCGTGCGTAACGTGCACTCCCCGCGCAAAGCTCTACAGGTACTGGCAGCAGCGCATCTCTATGCGGCCGGCAAAAACCTAAAGTGGCTAAAAGATTATTAACGAGTAATACCACGGGCGAGATTCCGCGTCGCTGGCCGACGACCCAGAGTTTACGCCCGCGACGGACGGCGACCGAAACGGGCAACAAACAACAACAAGAGGCAAGTCGAAAAATTGCTGGGGTCTCTCTCTCCCTCTCTCTCTCTCTCTCTCTCTCTCTCTCTCTCTCTCTCTCTCTCTCTCTCTCTTTCTATCGCATGCAGTGGCGGCGTCGTCTCACAAACTTTAAACAGATGAAATATTAACGCGTGAAAAGCAGGCCACGCCGGCGTAATTATGGTCAGTAAATATTAACAAGCAGGCATCTCTGCAGACAGACGAGCGAACCACGAGGGGCATGGGCTTCATACAGTAGAAAATGTAGCGCGTGAATAATACATAACTAAACAAGCTCCGTGGAGCGCCAGTGGTCATTAAACGGCTATATGCTGCTGCTGCTGCTATTACTGCTGCTGCAATTGCTGCATTTGTTACTGATGCTACTGTTGCTGCTGCTGCTGGTGATATTGCTGCTACTGTTGCTGTTGCTGCTGCTGCTATTGCTGCTACTGTTGCTGATGATGATAATGCCGTTACTACTGCTGCTGCTGCTGTCGCAGACGCCGCGGCCGCTGCTGCTGCTGTCGTTGCTGTCGCTGACGCTGCGGCCGCTGCTGCTGTGATACTGTTGCTAATGCCTTCTGCTAAATAAGACACATCTAAACACCATTATGGCGCTTCACAATTACATGATGCGGATTCATTCATAAAAATGTAATTATTATTGTAATAAAAAATAAAAACCACGGTGTACAACCTTATTAAACAGAGATAATTTGAGATAACTGATTTTCCTAACGCAGGCTAGTCATATGACAGCTAATATCTCCTTTGCCGTCCGTCATCGTACCGCATAATAAAAAATGGATTAAAATCCGTGCTTTGTTCATTGCACATTCATTGTGCTTTTTACACAGCAGCGCTTGTATTGAGTGGGTAATGTATGCAACACTAGTCATGCCTCTCACGTTGAGGGGGATATCTAAAATTGGTTCTTCGACCCCCGTCCCCGTTAACTTTGACCATTGTTCCCATTCATCTCCAGTTTTTTACCCGATGACGTCATTTTGAATTTGTTCCTGCGCAATGCCGAATAAGAAGACCAAGTGCAGAGCCAGCTGCTAGCAATCAAACAAGCAATTAGGTGAAAGCATTCAAACTTTCACATTTTACTCTTGTTAATGCACGAACTGCTGCACAGACGAGCACAAAGATGCATGCACGCACGGACGCAGAAACGCGCAGTTGGGACAGATAAGTGGGCGTAAGCACAGGTGGCTGGACGCTTTCACCATTCTACTTGCTACATATATATACAAACGGGAAATCAGTGCAAAAAATATAGCTGCCAACCTGCTGCATTTCAAGGTGACTTGCCAACGCGGATCGAGAGCACATTTCACGAAACATTTTCATTGCAGTATATTTTTTTCTGCTTTTCTCAGCTTTTAACAGCAACGCCAACATGGCGTCCACTTTACTCGTCGAAGCGGCGCTTACACTCGGGAAATATCTTATTGATTTTCTCCTTCCTGATTGGAGACGTCAAATATTTTTCTCCCCTTAAGAAAACTTCTTAAGGGAAATAACTCCTTAAGACTCCCAACAATTGTGATCGACCAGCCATACCCACAGTGTAAAACACAGTGCAGGCAAACTCATAAAGAAACCCCCTAAAAATGTCCTTTATATACAAGCATCCATTCAATAAAGATTCCTTCACTGTGCAAATGCAACTCAGGGGAAAAACATGAAAAGTGTTCTTTACAGACAAACGATCGTTCTATAGAAGTGGTTACAGTGTGTATACCGGTCATTCAGGGGGAAATGTCAAAATTGCCTTATATAAACGGGTAGCCATTATATGGAGATTCCACAGATGGAGATTCCGCTAACACAGAGCAGTTAGTTATTGCGTACCAATTTTATATTGTGCGTCTAATTTCTAATACTACTTCGTAAGTATTTGCCCCTTCCCAATGCCCAATAATGCATCGACATTGCATTTAGTTCATGAAATTAAGTGAAAAGTTATTTTTCGCTCAATCATTAGAAACCGGCGTGTTCAACATCGTAAAAAATTTAAATTGCAAACGCATAAATTGGACTGTCATGCGATATCAACATGTGCGAGCATCAACTATGCAAAGTGCAGAACAGCAGACTCGTTAAAATTCGAGCTGTCCTTTTTCATTCTCATAAATAACCGCCATCTAAAAGCCTCCGACCACTCTATCACACGAACAATGTTTATCCAAATCTTGAAAAGCGCCTGACGATGTGAGCAACTTGGAAAAATTTTAATTGTGGAAATGGAATTTTAAAAGAGGGTGCATGCGCAGCCCACCGCCTTGGTTTTGTTTCGTACGCTATCGCGTTAATGCAATTTGTTTGCGGGAAAAGAATGCATTAGTATAATCATTTCAAGAATGCCGTGTTCAGTTCCATGCCGTATTTCCGTTAGTCGATTTAAAAATTTCGCATAAAAATTATTAACTTCATTAATCATTATTTGCTCTTAGCGGATAATGTCTTGGACAGCTAACCTTGCACGAGATCGCTATCGAGAACTTTATTTTCAAACCCTAAACAAAAACTGAGCCAATCGATTACTCAGCAAAGCCACCGCACAATAAACCGCAGCACGCACACACATCCGAAACCTGACATCGCTTTATGCTCACGCATCAGCGTGTTGCATTCACTATAGACACGACAGGAAGGTTGGAGAAGTTGGCGGGGAAGGTTGGAGAAGTTAGCGGGAAAGGTTGGAGAAGTTGGTCCAGATGGCTATCATGCCTACAGCTATCATATCCCGGACTAATCGAGTTAGCAGAAAGGTAGTAGCCAGCGGTAATCATGTAGTAGTAGTGGTCATGTGGGGGACACGGAGAAGAGAAATTTCGCATGCGGCAGGGGGATGGATTGGAGTGCGAAGAGTGATTGCTCAAGCATTACGCACAGCTTCCTTTCTCGCTATCGCTATCGCTCTCTCTCTCTCTCTCTCTCTCTCTCTCTCTCTCTCTCTCTCTCTCTCTCTCTCTCTCGGTCTCTTTCTGTCTCTGTCTCTGTCTTTGTCCGTCTCTCTCTCTCTCTCTT